GGGGACCCACGCCATGGCCCACCTCAGCCCTGTGGCCCATTTCCTACTGAACAGCGTCGCTGCTGCTGCGGGTATTGGTGCTGATACCCCTGCCTGGTGTTCCTCTGCTCTCGGGGAGAAGCAGAACCTCCTAAGAGCCAGTTAGCAAGTGATAGCAGAAGGCGTGGTTTGGCTGCTGTTCTCCTGAGGCCCAGCTCCCCAGACAGGCTCTGCTGGGCACCCCAAGGACCTTTGACCCTTATTGCCTGGCAACCCTGATGCCTACCTCCACCTCAGGCCCCATTCCTGCCTCTTCAGAGACTTGCTGGGGCCCGTGGGCACAAAGGTTCTAAATCATTCAAGCAAATGAGGTTTTCTAGTAAGTTATTAACACCCCCTCCCCCGTACACACACACCCAACACATACGCACGTGGTCTTGCTCAGGAGGAAAGAAGGGCACTTCGGCTAAAGAAGCAGATTTGACCCTCCAGTGAACATACCTCATTCACAGAGCTGGGGCACATGGGCTGCACTCAGTAGTTTCAGGTTTACGTTTGTTTTGGAGAAAGGGGGATGTGATGCTCCTGCCTCCTTAGGCCCCAGAGGCGTGTCAGACAATGCAGCATGTATATTTACTGTCCTATTAAACTTTCTGGAATGAACAACAGAAGGAAAATATCTCCTCCCCCAATGGAAGTTGGAGTCCAAGTTCATTTCAGTCCAGGACTCTGTGAAAAGAAACTCTGGCCTGATTTCATGGACTTCTATTCAATCATACTTGTATTTTAAAACCATTCAGCTATTCTCACTTACTGTTGCTCTTCATCACCAGAACTGTATTTCTTCTGTTCTTAGCATTTCAGCAGGGGGAAGGGGGAAGGTGGACAGAGCCCCTCTCATCGGGAGCCCTGGATGGAGCCTGAGCTACTTGTCTGCTGGGCTCGTGCTGGCAATGCCCTAGATCTGCTTGCGGGCCTACTTGCCACAAACCCTGTGTTTGACACTGTGCTTCCTGGAACCTTGCGCGCACATTAGCTCCCTTTCCCCTGTGGCTCAGAGAGGGCAATCAACTTGACCAGGGTCACTCAGGTAGCTTTTGGCTAAAGTCAGACATGAGTTAAGCTCTCCTTACTCTTAGTCCAGGGATCTTTTGGGGATCTTTCTGATTCTAACAACAACAACAACAATGAAATATGTGAGATACCACCATTGTATTCATTAAGGTGGTTATCTGAAAACGGAATCATCTCTTCAGTTAACTCTTCGAGGTAAAGACCTGAATATTTATGTTATGCTCTTTAACCTAAACATACACTGCTTATACATCTACTGTGTGCCACATATAATGTTAGCCTCTGGAAGGCATACACACTCAGGCACACACACACACATACACACACACACACACACACGTATGTGCACACACACGCCTCCTCTTGCCTTCACTATGAAACCTTTTCCAAAGGCCTCACATAGTGCATTCTTCCCTGATGCCTTGGCACATCTTCCTCGCGAGGTGATTAGTATATCAAACCAAGCAAGCCCTTCTCAGGAAGGTTCTTGACTTTTTATTCTTTCTAGATCCCAGTGATTGGTACATGATGACTACTCAGTACAAGTTAGTAGAGCAAAAGGCAGGGAATTCACCCAACAGACCCTGCCATTTAGTAATTGTGGCCTTGGACAAGTCATGTCACCTCTTTGTGTCTCCAGAGCAGTATGATGGTAACTCATGCCTCTTTAGTTTGTAGGACAAAAAGACTGAGTGTGGGAAATAAGTGTCTAGTGCACTGTAAGCACTTGGGAAATCTTGATATGGTTATAATTAATTCATGCATAGAAGCTGTAGATGCTAATAACATCTCACGTTAACCAGGTACCACATACTAGGCACTGGAGATACAAAGTTGAGTAAGACAAGGCTTTGGGCAACATCCTAGTTATCACAAATAACAGCCAGTCAGACAGCTCTATGTTAGATGGGTATGGGATGCATTTGAAATTAGGAGGGTCTGGAATCCAGACCATCTTCTGCTCCTCAGCCGATGGCACGCCCAGCTTGTGTGGCTAAGTCCAGTAAAGTGAGTCTACTCAATAGAGTCTTAGCCATAAGCCATAGTATGGATAATATGGTGAAGAAATAATCACTGGTGGAAAATTGTGCCTTTTCTGATTTTTCAGGGTTTGACTGTGAAGTCTTCAGATCACATTAATCTAAGCATCTGCCTCATCATTACTGACTTAGGCCTTTCTACATTAACCATGTTAGTCAACTTTACAATAACAGTCAACCTACCTGGTGTAGTGGAAAGAGTATATGCTTTGGAGTCCCAGTATTCACTTACCACTGCCCAAGGAGGAGATGAGTCCCTGCTTTATTTCTTTCTTGGGGAGGATCGAAGGAGCCCAGAGATGAAGGAGTTACAGAACAGTTACACGTTCGTGCGTGTCTGTGTGTGCATGTGAGATTTTTGTTGTTAATGGAGGAGTGAGGCTTGGTGTTAAGCATGGGTGCTGGGCACTGGAGCCTGTAGTAAAAGCTTTGGCAACACTGTGGAGCAGGTGCTCATCCCTACCCGATGAGTAGGCAGACTTAGTACAGTTGGATTAAGGGTGTGTGGGTGTTCTTATCTTGGGAATAGCAAGAGCATAAAAAATAGATTAATATCCTTGAGTGTGAATGAAAAGGATGATAATAGAAGGTCTGCTGTGAGCTCTCCACACCTTACGGGTCTAGCTCATTTTGAGAAGTGAAAGAGCTTGCTCCAACGTTCTTTGCTGAAGACATCCTTTCAGGAAATTATATTCCTTTCAACTGCATCTTCCCTACCTTAATCAAATGCATCGGTGATAGCATGGAATCGGATTGCCGTTTCATGAAGTCTCGTGTTTCAAATACAGAGAATCAGTTGTCATTGAAAATGCAAAAGTGTTTGCAGTTCTATGTGGATTGGCCAGCAGGGTGGTGCACTCTGAGGGTAATTCAATATAATCCGATTCCACCACAGAGAAAATTCAGATGACCTGGGGGAGAAGGTACACCTTTGAGAAGGGAGTTCATCCTTCCAGGTGTATTAAACACCTTTTAAAAAGCCCAGAGGCACACCTCTAAGGCAAGCGGTGAAAAGGGATACAACTAAGCCTCTCATTGATTGAGGGGATACAACTAAGCCTCTCATTGATTGAGGCATACTACCCAGTTGTTGATAAGAGAACACTTCTTATCCCAGGCTGGGGCTCACTGCCCCTTGATTAGCTCTGGCCAAATTAGGACCTGTATCTTGTTAATGGAACTAATTTTAGAGAAGACCAGCTTTAATCAGAAAAAAAAAAAATCTAGAATTTAAAAGAAATCATTCAGTAACCAGAATTCGGCTTAAAACTGTTATCACATAGAGTTACTTTGGGCCAGTTTTGATGAATACATAAACAGCATTTGTCACATACGTGATCAACTGCATACAAATGCACAACTCAAAACCACTTGAAAATAGTCTCTCTCCTAAGTAGGTTAAGCATCCCCTCTAAATCTTGTATGCATTTTTAATGTCCTTAGCGCCTCCTGTTAAATAGTGCTAGGTAGAACCCAATCTGTGTCAGCCCTTGTCTGAATCATACTTACAAATTCAGCTTCGGTGGTGCACTGTGAATGAATCTGTGAAGTATCTCCTTGCATTACAGCTCTTCATACATCAAAGACTCTTTTTGAACTCGGTAATTATAGAAGGAAAAAAAAAAAACATGTTTTAGTGCTACCTGAGAGTTCTTATTAATATTACCTTTGAAATGACTAATTATGTTACCCATAAAGATTGGGAAAGAATTTATGTAACTGACTCATTAAAGATGGCCTTTCATAAACTTTGATCCTTTCTGCTCCTCCCCACAGCTCTCCTTTCTTTCCACTATTGCATTGATTTTTATGTTGGATGTTTATATATGAAAATGCCTGATGATGCACGCTGGTGCCCTCCCGCTTCACAAACTTTGTCACCTCTGGTGCCAGGATGTTGAGCATGTGATTTAATTATCCTTACTCTTTGGGTAAAGTGTGTTGGCCACGAGCCCTAAGACTCCAGTAAGATTTGAACAACAACTCTTTTCAGACTGAATGTTTGAAGGAATTGAGAAGGTGCCCCTGCTAATGACAGAGAGTGGGAGCCCACAGGGCTCCTCCTACTTTTGAGACTTGGACTCACAGACACATTATGTGTACAGCTGGGCGGAATGGTGCCGCCAATCTCAAAGTAACCTTCTCTATGAATGAGAAAGAATTCTCCTTGGCTGCCTCTTCTTTGCATGGGAAAAGCGGCACGTACCCAATCTTGTCACTGTTAGGCTACCCCCAGAGAAATGAGTATCGGAGTATCCAGAATGTGGGTAGTGATAGTGCGGCCCTCCCTTGAGCTGGCAGATCACACCTGATCCAGGATACCGCGAGTTAGAAGAGCCCCAGGCAATCAGGAGTCCTTCCTGGGAGCACCTAAGATAGTTGACAGAATGCAGAACTCAAGCATTAGAAGAAAAGTTGAAGGTCCCCAATGAATGAACGAACCAGCTGCACATGTCTCAGACTAGAGAAAAGGCAACAGCAGGGGACAGGGTCACTGTCTTCCAACAGCTGAAGGTTTGTCATGCGAAGGAAGAGGGAACGTGTTCTGGGCAGTTCCAAAGTACTGTCCGTAGGTAGAAGCTCCTGGGAGACGGGCATTTGGCTCACGACCAGGAAGAATAGTGTGATCGAGCTGTGTCAACATGGGACAGGCTGCTTCCAGCATTAGTGAGCTCCCTGTCACTGGTACTGTGCAAGTGGATGTTGGATGGCCATGCGTTTCACAGGTAGGCTTCAAGCACTGGTGTGGGCCAGGGGAATGGAGCAAATGAATTTAAGTTCCCCTGAAAATAATTAGGCTAACTAAGTCAGTAAGTATTTATAAAGGGCCCTTCTATATTGAGTGCCAAGAAGGTGTTTGATTTTCTCAATGCCCCAAAATAAAGTTGCTTTGTTTTTCCTCACCAGGAGATGACCCATTCCTGGCCTGCTCCTCTCACTGCCATGCATACTTCTGGAAACTCTGAGAAGAACACACTTTCCATCCCAGGACAGGTCAATTCTCTTCCTTCCTCCATTTTCCTTTATCTTAGTTTAATTGTACTGGTCTTTCCATTGGATTCTCGAAACTAAAAATGGCCTTGGTGTTCTGGTGCCATAAAATCTAGGCTTCCTCTTGCCCCTTTGGGGATATTAATAGCTATCCTGTTTTTACCGAGAATCTTTAGAGGCATATATCCCCAGACACTGGCATGCATGATGCACTACCTATAGCACAGCCACTGTGCTCAGAACTGAGGAATCAGAAGTGGTAGCTCATCTCTTAAGAAGACCAAATAGATGATTTGGCAGCAACATCCAAGACTTTTAAAAAAAATTATTTAATGTTTACTTACTTGAGAGAGAGAGACAGCAGGCACAAGTGGGAGAGGGACAGAGAGAGAAGGAGACACAGAATCTGAAGCAGGCTCCAGGCTCTGAGCTGTCAGCACAGAGCCCGATGTGGGGCTCGAACCCACGAACTGTGAGTTCATAACCTGAGCCAGTCGGTTGCTCAAACGACCGAGCCACCCAGGCTCCCCATCCATGACTTTTTAAATGAAAAAAACCTATACTCTTCACTCTAATGGATCAATTTTCAATTTTGTATGTCACCTTCCAGTCCTTGCGCACAAGCACACAGATCTTTACATGCCAACACATCATATTGACAGAACTTCTTTTATAGTCCTATTGTCAAATGTTTTGTTTTTTCCCCTCACCTGCTCCCAGTAAGAATTTCCTCTCACCATCAGTTTCTAAAATGCCTAAATAACCATGGCTATTCTAATAACACACTTTAAAAGAAAAAGTAATGTCTTTCTCCTGTCCTTCCTTCCATCCAATTAACCATCCATTCATCCATCCATCCATTTATTCAGAAACCATTTTCTGAGGACATACAACAGACTTACAGTTAGGGATGAAGAAAAGCCCTCTACATGTTATGAGCTAAATGACACAACAAAGTAGAAAATAGTTTCATAGAGAGTAAAAGGTTCAGAGAAGTATCTAACAATCCCTGGGTGTTGAGGAAGTGCTCACAGAGCTGGCGGCATTTGCAGGGTGCAAACAACTTTGAGGGGCGAAGAAAGGCCCAAGAGAAGAACACTCCATGTGGAAGAACAGGATGGGCAAAGGCACAGCGAGATGAAGGATCGCCGTGTGATCCATGCTGGTATCGTGTCGAGGGGCTGGCTCAGAGTCGTGTGGTGGGAGGCGGGAGAGAGATGAACCCCTGGCCAGCAAGTGCATGTCTGTGAAAGACCCCGAGTGCCAGCCAAGGAGTGTAGACTTTATTTGTAGAAGGAGAAATACAGCCAGATCCTTCAGTTTTTAGGGCCATGAGTTCAACAATGACATTGGCCTTAACTGCCTTCAGTTATCCCCTCCCACCTTTGAAAGGGGGTCAGAAGTAAGTGAGCAGCAACCTTCTCTGTCCATGTCCAGTGTGTGTTGTTCCTGTATGCCTGTCGACTGTCCCTTTTTAGGCTGCCCTGGGCTGGCATCCTCCTCCCTAGCATCCTAGCCAAGGGATTAGCCAAGCCGTTTTGGGCATTGAATCCAACACTTATACAGCAATTGCAGTGTTTTCAGCTGCGTTCTCCAATTTTAGAGATAATTTGCGCAAGTTGCGATTTTGACATTTACCAGTGTATACAATAGAACCGGTTGTTTAAATGGGCTTTTGTAGTAAGTGCACAATTTGGAATCTGGCACGATTTGCATTTTCTGCCAATTATCTGTGCTCCCATCAACCCCATGATAAAGGTAGAAGAGACTGGGATAAAATGGTGAGACCAGGATGGCTACACACCCACTCTTTTGTTTCACTTGGTTCCTGCCAAAACATTGGTTTGAAAGAAAAGTACATTTTAAATAACAGTAATGGCATCAACAACATAATGCCACGAAGTGCCTCACTGTGTTGGAAGCAGATAATATCTAGCAAATGATTCAGTCCTCATTACGACCCAAAAAGAATGGTAATTTGACTCTCCCTAATTCATAGAGGAGGAAACTGAGACACAGAGTAAAGTAATGTGCCCGAATGACCCAGCTAGTCAATCAGGGAACCAGCCTCTAGACTCAGGTGTTCTGGTGATATGTTTATCACACAGATTTACAGATGGCTTTGTTTAAATTCCATCTTCCAAAATGGGGACACGTACAGTAAAAACATGAGCCCCCTTTCCTCAGTGCTTGCACCGGAACTAGGTGACACCACCCTCTCAGAAAGCATCCATTTCATACATCCGTGGTAGAGCTTGTGCAGCCGTAAAGGTGCTGTCTTAATTGCCTTCAGAGCTGCAGGCATGGCTGCTTTTCATCGTGGTTCTGCCAGTTGCTGGCTAGGTGGTCCCATTCAAGTTCTTCTGAGCCTCAGTTTCCCTATCTGTACCGTCTGTGTGGAGGTTTGTGTGTGCACACACACGTGTGGATGTGTGCTGTACCCTCCCATTGGATTTTTTCGGGTCAAAGAGTCAGTGATTCTGCAAACTTACAAAAGTGGACACCATTCAAAATTCCCAACTTACTTATGTTTGTTTATCCATCCCAAATTGAAAGTGCTATGTTTTCTCATAGAGAATGGAAAAACCCACAAGGAAGGGAATACCTTGCTAAGCAGAAGTGAGGGAAGTAATAGCGTCCTCAGGGGAAGTTCAGTCAAGGTTTCATGGAGGGAATCAAACTCCAGACAGAGGCTGGCACTCTACAACCTGTGGGCTTTTAGATTTTTTAAACGGTTAGGATTTTCAAAAGAAAAAGCATGTAAATATTGTTATGAGGATTAGGAGTTATACGAATTATGTGAAATAACATGGGTGATATGAATTCAAATTTCAGTGTCTATAAACCAAGCTTTCTGGGAACCCAACCACACTAATTCATTTATGTATTAGCTATGACTACTGTCACATTACAACGGCAGAATTGAATCATTATGACAGAGACTGCATGCCCCCCAAGGCTTAAAATATTTAGTCTCCAACCCATTACAGGAAAAGTTGGCCAATCCCTGCTCTAGAATCTAGATCCTATGGGAGCATCTCATTGTAGGATTATCAAGGCTGTTATTTAAAATAGCCTCACAGAAGTTTGTGAACACAATTTGGCTTCGATATCGTCTATTACTAAAATTACTTGTATGACATGTCTATGAACAAAATTCACAGATTGAAGTCAGGCATTTTTTAAAATTTCAGATTATGCACATCAATAATTATTGCATAAAGAATGCAGATTTTTCCCACAACCAACCTACTTCCGATCCGGGTTGGGTGTTTGTACAGTAACTTGGGTAATATCCAGAGGTGTTTCGTTCTTTTGAAATTCTGGTTTTAAAAAGGTTAAACATTTTTAAAATGTTTAACATTAAAAATGGTATCAGGAATACATAACTCCAACTCAAATTCAGTAAATAACATAACCCTCAAATTCGTTTCATGAATCACTGCCCTGATGCTTTGAACAACTGATGGTTCTGGTCTAAAGTCCAGAATTCTTGGGTGAAGTTTAAAAATTCAGTACAGTTTTCTGGGACCAGTACAATGACTGGCTGCATGTTTCACTCTCTGATGAAGTTGACCTGACTTTCTAACTTGTCATTTGATTCCTAAGGGTATATAAGCCCAAACTTCCCCATACGATCATGATGAGATCCCTTTTAAAAAACAAAAGGTAGAAATATTGGTATATAGTTAAGGACATACAAATGGTTAACCACTCATTCTGGGAAATGAGGTATTGTGGATGATCGAAATTCTTGGATAACTAAAGGCTATCCTTCCATAGGAATCATGTAATACGAATCTTTCTGAGATGTAATTAATATTTTTCTGACTTCTTATAAAAATTATATGGAACACGCTTTAGTCTTTCTTGATAACTTAGACATTATGATGAGCACTGGCTATTGAACTATGCTGTAATACTGTACTGTACTGTAATTATGCCCTCGGGAGCTATTAAGATGGGTAGGAATGCTTGCCTCTATATTAAGTGGCCATAGACTCTTGTGCTTTTTAAGTTCTGACTTTGCTGTGTCACTCTCTGGCCCCTTGTGCTGTCGTTTCTCACGTCTCAGTGTTCTGAGCAGCTGTGCCTCTAGTACGATTTCCCTTTCCTCGCGATCTATGATTTGCTAAGGAGTGGGAATCAAATGGCCAAGCTTGTTAGAGTTTTTCATCAAAAGTCAATTCTCTATCGAGTGAGGGTGGAGAAACCTTTGAGCAGCAGTCTGCATGGGCTTTGTGATAGCTCTTTAGTTGAGAGGCCTTTTCCATCTCTTGTGGAGTTTATGGTAGTCTTCCGGAGTGGCGATCTTGCTGGAAGTGAAGTCTCCTGGGCAACAGAATCATGCTAAATAGGTAGCAGAACTTGCTTTCCGTGAAAGCACAGTGTTACTGTTCTTGATTGCTTCTCTTAAAGACAATGATACCGTGATTCTATTTTTCTTCTGGAGGGTGGCAAGATTCAGCTTAACGAGTGGATTACTTACAGCAGTGGTTGACATAACTGATTCCTGTATTTACTTGAATTCATGGTCTCCCTTTCGAGGCTCTTGTCTCGCAGTCAGGATTTTCCCTTCCATCTGCATGGTGTTGTGCCACCACGTACGTCATTGCGGTGCCTCTGCCTTTAAGTTTCTTCAGGCTCCACACAGGTGTGCCGTGCTCCCCAAAAGCCCGCTGTGTCTGCATCTGTGTTTCTCAAAAACAGTGAATGAATTGTGTGCAGGAAGACTTTCAAGTCAAATTCAAATCCCTTTAAATAAGGTGCTCCACTAACCTATTTCAAATCACTTCCTACACTTCACCAAATTTGTAATGAAGTCTTAAGAACCCAAATTTGTAAAGAAGTGTGAAGAACCCTCCTCTTGTGAAAATTAGACCCATCTATTGCACATGTGTCACAGCAAAGGTAGAAAATTGGAGTGGTTACTATCAAAAGGAGCAACTGAGCAAATCTATTAATTACTGCCTTATTTACGCTTCTCCAAAAACCATGATCATTGCTTTGAACCAGGCCCCCTTTACTTCCTTAGAGACATCATTGCCTAGCTATGTGAGAAATTAAACACTTGAATTTCACACATGTGGGTCATTTGTTCCCATGTTGTGCACACTTCCAAATAGATACTGGTCTTACTTGTAGTTCTGATGAAATGGCAGTTATGGTCATGTTGCAGCAGGTTCAACCAGCAAATCTGTACCCTTCAAATAGAGCTACGGACGGAAGCCTAATTACTAGAATTGTTAATAGCGGTTTCCTTTGTGCAAACATTAGTCAAGTCCTATCTTCAACAATAACAGATACACCTCTTGTTCCCTTTGTGTCATTTAACTAATATCTATATTATGTGTGTTCTTCCTTATAGGAATCCCAACATCTGACCCCAGGATTCACCTTACAAAGTAGGTGTTTTCAAAAAAAAATTCTTCTCAGTCCAAACATTCATGGCCTCTCCCCCTCCCCCAGATTCTTCTCATTCCTATCTAATATCATTAAAACATGGATTAACAATAGCAAAAAGTCATACTGTGATTCATCCAGTTGGCCCCTTTGTTTTATTCATGTGTTATTTATGACGGGATGCTGTGAAAACATATAACTGGAAGGGCTGCATGTGTGAAGACCAGTTGCATTGAGACTGATCATTTGACAATGGGAAACACGGAGAGTAATTGTGGTGCCTTTCTTTTCAGAGTGGAGCGACCCGACCGCCAGAGCTTCTACAAAGTCAGTACCGCTCGAGTCGTAAGTACTTTGGTTTCCAAAACAGGCTTCTTCGGTGGCATCTGGTAAGGGAACAGTGCCTCAGTGCTGCGCAAATCTTGTTCTTTGTCCTGCTTCCTGACAATAAGAACCTTGACTCCTAATACTTTGGGGTTCAGTTAGAGAGGAGAATGAGATTTCCCACAATAAGCAAGTCACAGTAAAAGTGAATGAGATCACCATTAGACTCTGTAATGATGTCAATAAGGCTGGACTGGTACCTGGAGTATGAAATCACTATGATTCTTGACTGGTTGTTTGAACATTATGTAACTTCAGCCACAGACACCATTGGACACAATATCTAACACCCTGAGCAGGACGGAGCAAGGACATGTCTTGGCAACCATGTTTGCAGGTCATCTGGGAACTGTATATTAAAGGCAAACAAGGGCAGCCTGGAAGAGATCGAATAAGAGATTACATGGCACTGGGTTGAAGTTCAGAAGCCAGGGCTCTGTGACTCACTCAGCACCGTCTTCATTTCTTATTAATGTTAACTGAAGGAGGGGTATGGAGAAACCAATTTCCTCAGATTAACTATTGTAGATTTTGTAATATCCATTTGTCCAAGAACGTATCAAGGGAGTATTTCTTTCACAACTTCTTTCATTCCTAATAATAGAAAACGAAAGTCGACTTTTCTATGTGAGTAATAGTTACTTACTTGAAAATTTTCGAAATGAAATAATTTATGACATTCAAGTAGTCTAATGCCACACTTGAAGTGAATTGCTCACCTTTTGGAAGATCACGAATAATTGCATAGAACAACTGGGAAAGACTCCCACATAGACCAAAGCTCTGTGGAGGTCAGTGGCATGCCCGTGTTCCTGGTTCTATTTGACAGCAAAGTTCCCAAAGCCCTGACCCCATCGCCAGTGCTCTTATTTGGTTTTCTGGCCTGATCTGCACCTTCCAATTCAAAGTTCAATTTCAGCAACCAAGAATTCTCATTTAACGAAGTGAGAAAAAATAAGAAAGGGGGAAAATAAAACTATAGCCCTGAATTAAAGACTAAATTATATAGAAACACAGAAATTAAAATCATCTTTGATATTGTTCATTTCAGTGTTTCCATTCATCACATTTTAACTTGCCCTTTCCCTTGTCAGTCTAGTAAACAACAGATGTTATTCTCCTACCTTACCTTTCTCCCATTAAAATGTCAGTAAAATTCATACACACATACACACACACACACACACACACACGTGTGTGCCCGCGTGTGAGCACTTAGGGAATCAACACAGGTTTCCAAACGTGAAAAAATAAAAAAACATTTTCCCCACTGTAAAATGATCTTACTCCTAAAGCAAGAGTATTAGGCTCCTGCTGTGAAATACGCTGATTTCCATACAGACCATAAAATTCAATATTTCAATAGTTTGTAACTAACAGAAATAAACTCGTCAATTGTGATTTATAGTTAGAGGCAGCATTTCCAGAAAACGGCACTTCATAGCACAAGGGTATACTGTGTAATTCAGTAGGACTAAGGTTCTCTATAGAAAGCATTGATAAAACTAGAAGACACAGAGTCTTTTTTCTGAATGAGCCACCCTCTTTTTGGCTGCTGGATCTAAAGACCGAGCATTGTCCATCAGACTTTGGCTGGAATGAGTTTTCTTTATGGTAGGGTATAGGTTTAACAAAGGACAGATAGAGTTATAATAATGATTTTTATTTTTAGCTTCCAAATGGTTAACTGCTTAGCCATTACTATCACTCTCCCATATTTCACTACAGTGTGATTTTCAAACCAACCTCTAGGATTTTCCATGGGGCAGAGTAATCCTTCAGGCAACTAAGAGCATTCTGTGTGTAGACAGACCGCTGATACCTTGAGTTTGGTGGGAAACAACCCCTCAGTTGGCCCTGCTGCAGGAGAGACCACTTCCCGAGGTCAGTGAACGTCCTGAACATGCACCCACCACCTACTGCAGTAAGAGAGATGGGAGTCTTATAAGCAGAATCCCTTGATTACTGTGATACTTTATTAGTTTTCCTCATCTGGCCTTCTTTTCCCCAGTTGAAGAAGTGTAGATCTTCCATTTGGGCCTGGATTGTTTGGAAGGACGGCATGCATGGGCAGCAGGTTCGAGAACACTGATCCAAGTATGTCCGAATGCAACGTGGGAACCAGCCAGGCTCCATCTGTGTTCTTGACAGTCGCTGCTGTCTCTGGGCCTTACCCCAGCGGTCTGACTGGCTTTTAGAAAACTGGGTCTTTTCTTCGCTCGGTAGATTTTATTGACAAACAGTGCTTTTTATTGGATGCCCATCCATGAGATGACATCCTGCCCACTCCGGCTAGAACTCTCTCTGCCCATTGAGGCAAGAGCATTAGCCTGGAGAAGCTCCAAGACCTGAGTTTTCATGTCTGTTCATGGTAGTTATAGTACTAGGGGAAAGGGAAGCACTGACCTAGGATTCAGAGGATATGAGTGTGAATCATGCGGGGCATGTATTTTTATTTCAAAATATACAGACAGAGCTCCTTAAGGGAAATTAAGCAAATTAATGAGCTACGCGTATACGCGGAAAGGTACACACACAAACACTTGTCAGAATTCAAATGTAAACAGTTATTTTTTTAAACAAGTTACACTCTTTAGTAATTAGACTGAACAACATAAAAATGACTTTACCTTTCACCCTCAATAATTTCTGTAGAAAGGAATACCCAATTGTTTTTGTTTCCCTCTGCCCCTGTGAGTCTTGGAACAACCCTCACCCAAGGCTTCTAAATCCAGTGGAGTTTCTAGCCTCTTTCAAAAAAGATCTCTCCAAAAGAGGGTGGGCATGGACGTATGAAGGTCAAGTTGTATTTCTCGGGGCTCTAGAGTTGTATATTTGTACAGTAATACCAAGTCCATTCTGCCTCTGAAGGATCCATTTATTTCAGTTATAAGATTCGGGGATTGAATATATACATTGGACAGTTATTTTTTTAAATTTTTTTTTTAATGTTTTATTTATTTCTAGGAGAAAGAGAGAGACAGCATGAACAGGGGAGGGTCAGAGAGAGAGGGAGTCACAGACTGAAACAGGCTCCAGGCTCTGAGCTGGCAGTCAGCACAGAGCCCGACGCGGGGCTCGAACCCACGAACCGCGAGATCATGACCCAAGTGAAAGTCGGACGCTTAACCGACTAAGCCACCTAGGCGCCCCTACATTGGACAGTTATGTTACTTTCTAGTTTCTTTTCTTTTCTTTTTTTTTTTTTTACAAATAGTTTATTGTCAAGTTGGTTTCCATATAACACCCATTGCTAGTTTCTTAATGAAGCCATTAAGGACGGATGGAGGAGAAAACTGAAACCAAACCCAAAGAATTTGGATTTTCTTTGTTGAGTTGGATTGCTTCATCTAGTTTATAACATTTTGTCAATTACTTGTCAGTACAGCAGCTTTGTAAAAATACTTGACCTTGTTGATCTTTCATGAGCCATGCTACCTAGGAACAGGTAAGATGTATTCAGTTGCCCTGAGAAGCAGTCTTAGACAGCATCCATGAACTCAAGAGTATCCATCTAGTCAGTCCTTGACGTCAGCTAATTTTGTGAGTACTATTGGGAAGATAGAAGCTCCAAATATCCAGTGCCTTTGCTATACTTAGTTGTTGGCATCTGGACCCTGTCAGGCATTCGAAATGTTCTTTCTTTGCCATAAAACTAGTTCTTTCACTTGTGGTGTTAGCTACACGTTTGAAAGCCTCCCAGCCATGGACCCAGAGACCTGAGGAAGGGTGTTGCAGACACAGACTAGTTGTGGCCAGTCTCAGTTTACCTGTGGGCGATGGCTGTATACACCACATGAACAAGACCTTGAGTGCAGCACTAGTTAGAAGGAAAAGGAATTACACCATCACAGGAAGGGCAGAGGTCTCCGGCCATAATCATTGTGCTGTTGAGTGTGAGCACTGGGCCAGGGCCCAGGGCCCATGCTAAGTGTTCTTACACATATCACCTTACTGTGCTTGCCAGTCATCCTGGAGGGGCTCCAGATTATTTCCATGGTATAGCTGAAAAAAGCAAAGCTAAAATACGGTCCCTCCTCGTGAAGTGTGCACGGTCCAGCGTGAAGACAGACTGACCGTGCACATTTACCTTGAATGCGCATGTTGGCTGTGAGTGCACAGAAGGCTGAGTGAGTGATGCCACTCCTTGGCGAGAGAGCCTGAATGTAGGCCTCTTCCTCCCACCGCGCTGCCCATCATCCTGCATTCTCATGAGTTCAGGGATTTGGGGAACCACATTGGGCATTTTGAACCTGGAAGACTTGTACAGCTGAAGTTAGTGGGAAGGAGTCCCACAATAAGTTATAGCAAAATGTCGTCAAAATTACTGGAAATAAAGAATTCTTTCTTTTTAAAAAAATTTTTAACATTTATTCATTCTTGAGAGATGGAGAGAGACAGAGCATGAGCAGGGGAGGGGCAGAGAGAGAAGAGACACAGAATCCAAAGCAGGCTCCAGGTTCTGGGCTGGCAGCACAGAGCCCAATGCGGGGCTCGAACTCATGAACCGAAAGATCATGACCTGAGCTGAAGTTGGACGTTTAACCGACTGAGCCCCAATAAAGCATTATTTCTAAACTCTTCTTTTTGTGTTAGGAAGAGTTCATTACCGCAGAGAATAGAAAGATTATTAGAATGTTTTCCAGTTTATTATAACCACTAACAAGCATTATATCATTTCTTAGATAACTTTAAAAATTTTTAACCAAAATAAGAAAGGAAAACCCTCGCATTCACCATCCTGCCCATCCTACCTAAATTTTCTCATTGAAAATGTTTGTTTTGGGGAACCTAGGTGGTTCAGTCAGTTAGGCATCTGACTCTTGGTTTGGGGTCAGGTCTTGATCTCACGGTTTGTGGGTTTGAGCCCTGCATCAGGGTCCGTGCTGACAGTGCAGAGTCTGCTTTGGATTCTCTCTCTCTCCCCCCATCTCTCTCTCTGCCTCCTCTCTCTCAAAATA